TCTCGAACTCCTGACCTTAAGCAATCCTCCCACCTTGGCCTCCCAGAGTGTTAGGATTACAGGCGTGAGCCACCACTCCCGGCTAACAGTGTGCTGAGTGTTGACCTTAAGTTGTCATGGCAACCACCACCTTCATCCCCATTTTACAGATGATGGGACTGAGACCCAGAGAGGTTCATGATTTGCACATGGTCACATGGCTCCTAAGGACACGAAGCCTGGTGTGTATGACTCCAGACACTGGCTCTGATGAAAAGGGACAGTGGGGCTCTGGGCAGGATAAGGCCAAGGCTCTAGGCCTAGACCTTGCTAGATCATTCTGCCTGAGGGTGGAGGCTGGCTTTCTGCCTGTCCTACTAAGGGGCATCTGAGTCACAGCCCCCACCCTCTCTCCGCCTTAAACCAAGGAAGGCATGGGGGAGGCCAGGGCGCCCACTTGGGGTGAGGAGGCCTATGTTACAGCCATAACTTTGCTCATACCTGCTAGTTGACCTTGGGCATGTCTGGTCTTATCTGGGCCTCAGTCTCCCCATCTGTTCAGTGGAGGAGGGTCAGAGTTGATGGAGTCCAGGAGGGCTCTTGCTCTCCCCTCTTGCTCTGAGATCCCATGATGCAGGCCTGGGAGAAGGAAGAGGGGCTCCAGGGGTGCTGGGCTGGGGTTGGGGGCAGCCTGTAGCCAGGGAAGTTTGAAGTCAGAGCCCAGCCCTGTCCTGGACTCTTCAGAGCTGGGACCTAGAGGCCCTGTCCCCATTCTCCCAGGCCATGGGGCAGGGCCAAAGCCCAGTTCTATTTTTGCAGGCAGGTTACATGAGAGCTGGGGACTGAGGTAGGGCATGAGCTCTGGGCATGAGTCGGCACTGAGAAACCTGACCCTGTGGGGCCCTCCTGGGCAGGGCCATGAGGCTGTGAAGGTCCCAGCATCGAGGCCCACACTGCCCGTCCTGAGGCCAGCACTCTTCACACAGGGCCCCAGGCAGCCCAGCCTGCAGGAGAGGCTATGGCTGGCCAGGCCTCCTGCACGTGGGCAAAGAGTGGCATGTGCCTGGCATCTGGCCACTTGTTGGCTTCTGCCAGCTCTCTCCCTCACTCCCAAATCTCAACTCCCTGACTCCTGGGTGGGTTGGGTGTTTGTTCTGGGCTCCCACAGCTCTCTCTGCTTCCCCCATTGTGGCTCTGGAGGCCCTGTCTCATGCCACGTGGTCACCTGTCTGCTTACCACTGGTAACACCTTGGGGCAACTCTGTGTCCCCAGCACCTTGCCCAGGGGCCTTGCACAGAGCAGTACTCCTTAAATGATGTATTTATTGATAGCTCTGACAGCTGGATTGATGGGCTGTTTAGACCACATGGCTCAGGGTGCTAAGGAGGGTGCTTAGGAGGCTGGAGGCCCCACTAACAGAGATGCAGAGACAGAGAGGCACAGACTGGAGCCAGGGGCTGAGATGGGTTTTGAACAAGAGGAGGTTTCTACTGCCAGGGGCTCCGGGAGAGGAACCAGGGCCAGACGCAGGCTAGACTGTAAATGGCGGACGCCGGCTTCTTTCCTGAAAGCAGAGTCTGTGGGAGCAGAAGACAAGAGTCTAGGAAGAGGAGAGCCCAGGCAGCCATGGGCAGGGCCGGCGGCTCCCCTTCTATCCGGGCTAGTTGCAGGGGAGAGGGGCGATGCCACCCTGCTATCCACAGAAAGGCTGGGAAGCAGGATCCCAGCTCGCTGAGCCCATTCTCAGCTGGCCCCACATGTCACAGAGCAGCCTGGCTCTGTTCCTAGCTTTTGGGTGCTCAGGCTGATTGGGGAGACCACAATGGGAGAAGTTCTAGAGCCAAGGGAGTCACAGGTGTGGTGGGCCAGTTGCTTCTTCCTAGGGAGGCCTGAGAAGGCTGCTTAGGGGACGAGGTGTGCAGTGATGATGACAATGATGCGATCGTGACAGCGAGCACTTGCGGAGGCCTCCCCAGGTGCCCGCATGGGGCCCGGCCCTTCATACTGATAGAGCAGGAAAGGGTGTTGTGGGTATGAGAAACAGGCCGTGCTGGGGCACGGGGTGTCAGCCAGCAGGAGCGGAGTGTGAGGGTCATGCCAGCTGCCGGGTGCGCAGCTATCACTGGGCATCAGGCTCTGTGTTCAGCACTTCACGTGCCCCTGTGAGAGCAGTGTTGCTGCCCTCCCCATACTTCACACGAGGAGACTGAGGCATGGAGAGACGGTGACCTGCCTAATGTCACACAGCTAGTGAAGGAGCGAAGGGGAGAAGGCAGAAGTGGACAGGGTTTACAGGAGGGTCAGTTGCTGTCTGCCTGTGGCAGAAGCTTGATTCTGATGGAAGGGAGTGCGGATTGGCAGGGTAGGGGTCACTGAGGAGGCAAAAGGACAGGCTGACATTTTGGGGGCCCCAAGAAGGGGTGAGTCTCCTCTGATAGTAGATCAATGCCCCTTCCCTGGGCTGCAGGGAGGGGAGGGGAAGGGCTGGGTGGCATGCACAGCAAGCCAGGGGATGGATGGGGAGGTTAGAACCTCCCTGCCCGGCTGCCTTGCAGAGGGTGAAATTCGCCAAAGGGGAAGTTCACCTGAAACCCCAAACGCCTTCCTGGAACGGGACCTTCCACGTGCAGGCCACAGGCAGCTCGTAACAGTGCTAAATTTGGAGCCAACAAGCAGGAGGTATTCTGATTATCTGTTCATTTCTAGAAACGCTTGAGCTGGAGGGACTGTTGCCTAGAGAACAAAGCCAAACATCAGAATGAAATCGAGAGAGAAGTAAAATGTCCTATTCTAAGCGTAGCCTATGAGTAAGCGTCTCTTTGACTCTTTGGAAAGTGTGTGTCAGAAAATGCAGAGATTCAGAGAGCCCTGGGAGGGGGCCTGTATTGATTACTCATCTCTCTCCACGAACACTTGGAGTGGGTCCCACACCATCATTGCCCTTGTGCAAATACTGTCAGTCACCTGGGCTGTATATGAGTGACTGCGATCACTACTTCCTTTGGGAATTGGCTGGGTGGTAGCACGTGTACGCACAGGCACACACAGGCACACGTTCAAACATATGCAGGACGGCAGGGTCCCCCTTTCCTTGCAAAGGTAAAAGGTTTCCTCTTAGTCCTGGATTCATCTCCACATGTCCCAGTGTTGGTAGCAAAAAAAAAAAATGCTGATGATCAGTTATAAACAGTGAGTGTTAGCCAAGAGCCCACAATGACTTTCTTGTTTCCTTGTCATTCCCATGGTCATAAGCGAATGAAGCAATGAATGGACCCACCATTTTCACTCAAACAACTTATTATTTGAAAACTCTTCCACTTCTTCTCCTTTTAACATAAAGGCCATGTAGCTATTAAGTGGCAGAGCTGGGACCCTCTGCCAGCCCATCCCTGCTATGGGGGCTGGAACTGCAGTGTGGAGTTCTGGTGGATATGATAAGGGCTGAGGCCACAAAAGGTGGTCTGGGCCACTGAGTGCAGGGTCTTCACAGCTGGTTTAAGAACCTAAGACTTTTTCCTGCAGGGCTGGGGTAGCATCTAAAGAATTTTTCTTTTTTGGAGGCACTTTTTGTGTTTATCGATCGTTTGGATCTCCCAAGCAAGATGATTGTTTCAGCCTGTGGGAGATGGCTTGTAGTAAGAGACTTATTTATTTATTTTACATTTACTGAAAATTTGCCTTGTAAGGGTATGTTCTCTTTTAAAATCTTGGCAACAACCCCATGTGTTAGGCTTTATGATTATCCAACTTTCCAGGTGAGGAAACCGAAGCTTACAGAGGTTAAGTGCCTCTTGTTGGAGACCAGGTCATAGCTAGTCAGGAGTGGACCCAGGCCACAAACCCAGGAAGTTTGACTCTGATGCTTGATTGTCACATTTCAGAGCAGGAGCCACTAACCCTGGCCCAGGGATTGGGTAGGCTTCTTGGAGGATCGGCCATAGAGGTCATACTGGGTTGGGCGAGTGGCGGTTGTCTCCGCCTGGGTGCTGATGGCCGCTGTCCTGGTTGCAGGTGCCCTGCTGCAGGAGGAGAGGCTGGACGCGGTGACCCTGCTGTACGCCACCTCGCTGCCCAGTTTCTGCCTGCTGGCGGGCGCGGCCCTGGTGCTGGAGGCTGGTGTGGCCCCGCCGCCCACTCCTGCCGACTCTCGCCTCTGGGCCTGCATCGTGCTCAGCTGCCTGCTGTCTGTGCTCTACAACCTGGCCAGCTTCTCCCTGCTGGCCCTCACCTCTGCCCTCACCGTCCACGTCCTGGGCAACCTCACCGTCGTGGGCAACCTTGTCCTGTCCCGGCTCTTGTTCGGCAGCTGCCTCAGTGCCCTTAGCTACGTGGGCATCGCACTGACTCTTTCAGGAATGTTCCTTTTTCACAATTGTGAGTTTGTGGCCTCCTGGGCTGCCCGCCGGGGGCTGTGGCCGAGGGACCAGGGTGGCAAGGGTCTTTGAGACCTGGAGGAGCTCAGGGGCCACCTGGGATAGCCCCAGACTGAATCTAACTTCGGCCAGTGGCCACGGGAAGGGTGGACAACAGGCAGCTGCCACTGCTGGGGCCCATGGGAGGGTGGGGCACCTTCTGGAAGGGCTGCCTTGGAGGCTGGAACAGGGACTCCCAGAGAGACCTACCTCCTGTCCCTGTCCGCCTCCCCCCCATCACAGACCCTGCTCACCACTGGATGGTGGGTCCAAGCCTGGCACGGTCACCGTGCTTGTAGGAGTAATTATTAGGATCAGTATCAGCTACTGCGCCGAAAATTACCGGGCAAACTTTGAAAACCTCAATGTGTTATAATGACGACGATGATGATTTTTGGCGGTTGCACAATCCTTCCTCTGGGGGGAGGCAGCTAGGGGGCCCCAGGGAAGGGTTTCTTTGCTTCTGGGCTCTCTTAGGGAGTTGGGGTGGTCTGTGCCAACTCCAGGCAGCTGCTGTGGCCTCACCCCTGAGTCCCCCAATTTTGGGTCATCCGTCCTCAAATAAACTATTTTTGCTTGTATGCCTGTGTCCTTCCTTGAGGGCACAGACAAGGGAATATAGGGAGAGTGGTGGGCCCCCCGCGCAGAAACTAGGACATCTTCCCTTACCCACTGTGGCCTGTCCAGGCCCCTAACCCTGCCCTGTTCCCTTAAATCCCTCTGCTGTGCCCTGGCCTCTCTACTCCATCTTCCACGCGGCCCCCTTCTTGCAGAGGGATCTTTCTAAAACACACACTCTGTGGCTCCTTGCTGCTCATGGGACAAAGTCAGAACTTCCTTCCCTAGACTACAGGTCCCTCAGGACCTGGCCCTGTGGCCTTGCCCAGCGCTCCCTTCTCTTCCCCCTGGGCTCTGCCTTCCAGCCTCAGCGACTTCCTTCAGGTCCCCACGATGCCAGGACCACTCACTGGAGCCTTCGCAACGTTGGTACCCTCTTCCTACACATCCTCCCCTCTTCTTATGACTAAACCCTCGCCTGAGGGAGAAAACCCAAACATGCACCTCTCCTGATGGGGACGTCAGGGGCCTTGGCAGGGGAGCAGGGCTCCCATGTAGGGAAACTAACCCCTAGAGTTAGCCCAGAGCCTCCTGACTGGCTGGCCGCCCTTGGCTTTGTCATGTTGCCTCTCTGAGGCTCTATACACTTAACTCCCTCCATCCGGTTACCTCCCTCAAGACCACTTGTAAACAATCCTAAGGACCCAGCCTGGAGTGGGAAGACCTGGGACTAATCCTGCTTGGCCCCCCTCACTGTGAGCCTCCCCTGAGCCTGAGCCTCAGCTTCCAGGTCTGCAAAATGGGTTGATGATCTCCATGGAGAGGATTTGAATGTGGAGCCTGGCGAACAGGGCCACGAGTGAGGAAGGAGGCGATGGTGCCAGTTGGCTCTGTCCCTGTCTTGGGCTAGTCACCCACCCTCTCTGAGGTTCCAGATCCATCTGGAAAATGTCCCCTTTGTGTGAGGATGGGGCGCTAGACCAGGCTCGGGCTGGGTCTGGGGACACTGGGATTCAGGGATGAATCATTCATTCCTTCCCGTAACCAGAATTCACGAAGGACCACTATGCCAGCCAGTGCTAGGCAGGGCTGCGTGAAGGGTCAGCCCAAGGCTGGATGGGGAGGTGGGAAGGGAGGGCCTCGAGGACAGGCACAGGGTTTCCCGGCCCCAGGCTCCACCCAAACTGGCCTTGCAGGAGGGGAAGTGGGCCTGGGCTGAGTCACCCACCACCCCCTCTCCCTATGACTCAGAGATGCCACTAGCCCAGCCCAGTCCCTGTGTAGCTTGGGTACCTCCGGACTCAGGCTTTGCCAGGCAAGACAGAGGGATCGATGGCTTTGGTTAGGCAGAGCCTCCTCGGTGACTCAGGACCCTTCTCCAGCCAAGGGGGCCACTGCCCTAGTAGGAGCCTCCTGCACCACCCTCACCCAGGCTCCTGGGCCTCACGGGATGCTAGGCTAATGAGTGAGCTGCCTGTCAGATCAAAGCCTGCCCCTGGTGGTTGTGGGGACAGGGTAGGGGGGTAACTGAAGATGTGCTTGATCTGGGAGTTGGTGTATCACCAGATTCAGGACCATCGGGCATTGAGGTGATTTCCTAAGGCCATAGCCAAAACCCTTCTTCTCCCTCCTCCCAGCGGTGGGCACAGAGAGCACTGGACTGGGAGTCAGGAAGCCTGGGTTTGAATCCTGGCTCCTCCTACTCACAGTGTGACCTCGGGCTGGTCTCTCCTGGGCTGACAGTGTCCTTGGGAATGAGGACCACAGTGATAACTAGAGGGGAGGGCTCACTGAGTGTCCCATTGAAAGGTCATTATCCCTCCAGGCTCTGCCTCTCAGCGCTGTTGCCTAAGGCAAGTCTCTTTACCTCCCTGAGCCTCAGTGTCTGCACTCAGTCCCTGCTGGGAAGCCTTTCTTTGGGACAACAGGTGTCACCTTCCTTGGGAAGCTCTCCCCTCCCCCATTCCCGCCCCATGCCATGCCAAGCTAGGTTCCAAGCTCCACCTAAAGGTCACCTCAGCTCCCTGCACCTCTCCAGGCAGGGCCCTGGTCACATCCCACCCTCAGAGCTGGATTACCGTCTTTCTTTTCCACCAAGCTGGGCTCCAGGAGGGCTTGCTGTGGTCTCCCCAGCCCCAGCCCAGAGTCTGGCAGGGAGTAGATGGGAGAAAATACAAGTCAAGAACAGGAGCTCTCGGCTGGGCGTGGTGGCTCACACCTGTAATCCTAGCACTCTGGGAGGCAGAGGCAGGAGGATGGCTTGAGGTCAGGAGTTCGAGACCAGCCTGAGCAAGAGCGAGACCTCCATCTCTACTAAAAGTAGAAAAAAAAAATATATTAGCCAGTCAACTAAAAATAGACACAAAAAATTAGCCGAGCGTGGTGGCTTGTGCCTGTAGTCCCAGCTACTTGGGAGGCTGAGGCAGGAGGATCACTTGAGCCCAGGAGTTTGAGGTTGCTGTGAACTATGCTAACGCTACGGCATTCACTCTAGCCCAGGCAACAAAGCGAGACTCTGTCTCAAAAAAAAAAAAAAAAAAAAAAAGAACAGGAGCTCTGGAGTCAGACCTGGGTTCAAATCCTGGCTCTGGCATATCTGAGCTGTGTGACCTTGGGCAAGGGCCTTCCCCTCCTATGCCTCTGGATTAAGTGGGAGTAGCAGTAGAACGAACCTAAGCCCCCACCCCACTGCAGGAAGCTGTAATGGGCCAAGGCGAGGGGAATGCTTGGCAACAGCATCTGAAACGTAGTAGGTCCTCGATCAATGTTAGCAAACGGACTCCACCTTTCCTCAGCCTTCCACTGCACGCTGAGAGTCCCCGGAGCATGGTCCTGCCGGAAGCTGGGGAAGCTGGCTCTGTGCTGGGCATCCTGCCATTGTGGACTTCAGAACAAAGCCTCGTCTCAGTCTCAGCTGCCAGGGTGCCCCTCCCGCCCTCCCCTGGTGGCCCTTGGATTGTCATTCCAGGGAGCCAGAGCAAACGAGGACTTTTCTTGCTCCCCACTCTGCCCTCAGATCAGCTCAGGATGTCAGCTCCTCCATCACTGCCCTGTTCCTGCTCAGTTGCAAACACTTCCTGGAAATAGCACAAAATATTTAACTGCAGGCCACTTAATGGAAAGCCATGGAAGGTTTTGAGCAGGAAAGAGCCATGATCTTCAATAAACATTTCTTGACACATGGATCTTCAGTTTAGTCTAGATCCTGCTGTGAACTAAAATAAAATTTTAAGGCTCACCCCCCCACCGGCTGACTGAATGGACCCCTCGTGGCCAAAGGAATATCCTAAAACGACATTGCCAGCCAGGAGGAAGGAGGTCAGACAGGCCTCAACATGTTCCCTCCCTTCTTGGGGACATCCTTTGTAACCCATTAACAGGCCTAAGGGCATTCAAGGCAAATCTGCAGGTCCTCAATTTACACAACAAATATATGTCTGGTGGCTTATCTCTGATTAAGAGCTTCTTATCTTAAAATATTCCCACCCTCTAGACAAAGCTTCATGTCTTTAACCAATTACAAGTCAAAAAATGTTTAAACCCACCTATTACCTGTAAGCGCCTGCCCCCCCTTTCGAGATGGCCTACCTTTTTGGGCCAAACCAATGTATGCCTTCCACATATTGATTTATGACTTTACCTGTAACCCCTGTCTCCCTGAAATGTATAAAACCAAACTGTAACCCAGCCACACCAAGTCCACTTGCTCAAGACTTCTTGAGCATGGCTCCTCCTGGTCATGGTCCTCAAATTTGGCTCAGAGTAAATCTCTTTGAAATTATTTTAGAGTTTGGTTCCCCTACCCCCCCCACCCCCACCCCCAACGTTAACATTACATGGAGTTGGCAAGGAGCATCCAGGAGAGGAAAAAAAAAAACACTACATGGAGGAAAAAATTGGAGAGCCTTGAGATAGGAGGCAGGGAGACCAGAGAAGACCTGTTGTTGAGGTCCAGGTGAGTAGATGACAGTGGGGACAGTGCTGGGGGCAGAGTGGGCATCAGTCGTATTGATTTGGGGTAACAGTTTACCCAAAACATTGTGGCTTTTGTTTTGTTTTTTCTTTGTTATTTTTTTTTTTTATGTAAGGGGGAGTGAGGAGGGGGGTCCAATTTCCTTTTTTTTTTTTTCTCTATCACCCTGGGTAGAGTGCAGTGGCATCATCATAGCTCACTGCAACCTCAAACTCCTGGGCTCAAGTTATTCTTCTGCCTCAACCTCCTGAGTAGCTGGGACTACCGGTGCATTCCATGACGCCTGGCTAATTTTTCTATTTTTAGTAGAGACGGGGTCTCACTCTTGCTCAGGCTGGTCTCGAACTCCTGAGCTCAAGCGATCCTCCCACCTCAGCCTCCCAGAGTGCTAGGATTACAGGTGTGAACCACTGCGCCTGGCCAACATTGTGGCTTAAAATAACAAATATGTATGATCTCAGTTTCAGTAGATCAGGAATTTGGGAGTGGCTTAGTGGGGGTGGTGCCAGCTTAGAGTTTCTCACGAAGTTGTTGTAATCAAGATGTTGGCCCAAGCTGCAGTCAACTGAAAGCTTGACTGGAGCTGGA